CTAGTTTCAACTAATGGTAAACTAACCATTAGTAGCTAATATTAAACAAAGTTCTTGACAAAATGTTAAAGTCTAGCGGAGGGAATAACGCATTCCTACATCTAAACTACATTAGACACATTTGTACCCAAAATCTAATTAAACATCTGGTTGAAAGAGACTTAAAGAGGTTTTTCGTGCTCAGTGACATGGAGAGGCAGCGAAGGAAGGAAGACGATAAAGAAAGTTTTTCTTCTCTTTTTAGCACAAAACCTTTTTTTTCGCAGTGGAAAATACAGAGTGGTTCATATGTCAAGTAACACAGTTTTTCATTCAATTTATTTCTTATACATCATTAGTTAGAGCTCATATTTATACTACAGATGCATCCTTGATTACTTAGCTTATTCTGAAAGTTCGAGTCGTATAGAATGAAAATTCGTTGAGAAAAGTGCCGATATGTCTGTATTCAATAACAATAGCTTTTGATGAATGATATCGCTTCTATATGCTTTTTCTAGGCCTTGTGCGAATAATAATATCTAAAAATCTTTAAACGATAAGAAAGAAATTGGAAATATCTAATTTAAGCGGCAAAGCTTGATATTATTGAGAACATAAAAAAACAGAAAAATTAAGCAGGAAACCAACAAAATTCGATTCATTGCTGCTTGAGTACATGAGACGTATCGGCATTTTTCTCAATGAATTCTCATTCTATACGACTCGAACTTTCAGAATAAGTTAAATAATCAAGGATACATCTGTAGTATAAATACGAGCTCTAACTAATGATGTATAAGAAATAAATTGAATAAAAAACTGTATTAACTGACTTATGGACCACCCTGTATAGTACAATGTTAGATAAGACTTTGCATAAAAGGCCTAAAAATTTTCCTGAGGTTTCTTCAGAAAAAATAGGAAAGTTTACCAGAGTTCGGACTAGGATGGGAGTTGAGGTACTCCTGAATAATCACATCATCTGGTACCTTGATTTTTAAAATTTGTTGAATTTTCTGGATCTTGTATGATGACCAAGATCTTGCGTACAAGATGTTCATCTGAATATATCTCTTTTGTTCTTCCAACAAAGCTTTCTCATAGGTGGCTCAAATGTTAAGAGACTCAACTATAAAGGCTCAAATGTCATCTTAAAATCCGACTTCTATACATGCAGCTCGCAAGATTAATGGACTCATAGGCTAGTGTCTTCTGTTCAATTGAAAGAATACCGTTCTATTAGTTTCTCGAATTGTTGAAACACGATTGTTAAAGAGTGTTTAATTTTATAGCGGGAAAAGTGACACCCCCCCCCCCCCTCCAAGCCCGCCTCACAGGCTGTAACAGACATATCAATATGCTGCTCTTTTAACTTAGCCATGGGCTGTAACAAGCGTAGCATTCTCGTTTGCGATTAAAGCTGCTTCATCATGATTCAAATTTTAATCATGCATGGATTGTTTGAAAAGCTTTCAGTTTAGGGTCAAGTGAATTGAAATCCAATGAACGTTACTTGTCAGATGAGTAGAGTGATGAGTCAAATTTGCTCACTCATCCGACAGGGCCCTTTGATGTTTCCTAACTAGGCGTTTTATCAAACTTTAGAGTGCTCGAAAGCGCAAATGGCGTCGCATAATATCGTGGCTTGTTGAATTGCAAATATATTATCAAAATTGTTCCGTAGTTGAGTTTGAACACAGAATGTCCTTCTTAAAAAAGAAAAAAACTTCAAAGTCCATCCGACGTTTTGTTGCAGATATATGACCTATACTCAAAGGTACGCATCATTGTCTTCAAGAAATTGAACGTTTTAAAGCAGATTCCATGTGTAAAATCACATTAGAAACCAGGTTTGCTTTGAGAATTCAACAGTATTTATCTCACCATTTTGAGACCACAACATCATATCTTGATGAGAAAAGAGCGACGACCCAGGTTGGTGGAACATCATGCTCAATACATTAGGGATCGCTCTACCACGTGCATTACTTTGCTTTCTCGCGTTTGATTTTGGAAGTAACAGCTGCCAAGAACATTTTAAATAAACATTTTTCCCTGACAAGTATCCATATGTTCGAATGACGACGCTGAAATCGCTAGGAAAATGATTCCTAGCTGTCACATTATAAATTAGTGATCAAGAACGCTCTGACTGAGTTACATTCTGATTCATAAGCACAATGTATTGCATGAAATGGAGGTTCTTTGGCGATTGCAAATCACTCTTATCCACTGTGGTCAACATATGATTCATCTATATTTTGTTACTGTCATTCATCACTTTCGCACTCGATTTTCGCTGTTTACTCCTAAAAATAACTTAGTTTTGCTGCAGGATACTACGATCTGTTGTGCACACCTTTACCACGCTGAACTCCTGCCAAATGATAAAATGTATCTCTAGAAGACTGATCCTAAACCATCGCATCCGAAAGGAAAAAAAGCCGATCAAGCACATCATTCGCTTGATCAAATTGCCACCTTCGACCGCATCATTCCACCGACAGATCAGTATCATCGGCCGCTTCATTCGACGCATCGTATAATCAGTGCATACGATCGTATTCGACCGAGAACAGTGCTATCGTCTACTGTATTCATCAACAGATCAAACGAGCATAATCAATCCGATAAGACTCATATGTAACGTTATCAAATCTGACCATATTGTGTCGGGGTGCACGTATGAGAATGTGGATTCAAAAGTGAAGATACTTCGCTCAGAATCCTATCACGAGGTTTCAGTAAGTGCAATTTACACGAAAAGCTTGTTTAGGGGTTCTGGCGAAGAAAAAATCTATGTCAGAACGGAAAAAGAACCACATTCACGTTTAAGTTTGCCGAAATCTTTTTTCGATTCCGAAAAGAACGATTTTTTTACAGAGTGGCCTATTTTCGACGCATCCGAGCTCAGTCCTGATTGCTTTGCGTTGCGGCTTCGTTAGAAGTCTCAGTCATTTACGGAAAAACATTGTTGTTGCATCTCCATTTGTTCACATTTTACTTGATTTTCAGCTTAATGTGCCTAAATTATTATCCATAATATCAGCTGTATTAGACTTAGAAGCAGTAAATGATTATCAAGGATGACGAGTTTTCGAAATATACGAAATCCTTCAAGGATGGATCAGAAATTGGGTAAACAATTTTGTTTCATGATATAAGAAAACAACAAATAATGAGATCTTATGAATATGAGAAAATATTTACCAGGCTGAATAACCGTATTCTGAAGTGTTGTAGTATGCTTGTTGACTTGGAGAGTACTCCGCATTGCAAGATCATGGAATTTTGGAAGTGCCGTATTGTTGTTTTTCTCGTTAGACACTGTCGTCAAAGTTAAATTAAAGCACGTGACACATTTGACTTTCGTCGTTGGACTATCGATTTGAGATGAGCTATGCCCAATGAAACGAAATATTGTATGAAGCTCTTCGAGCACTTTACTTACCGTCGACGCAGCAGCCACCACAGAGAAACAGAAAAAAGCATGAGTGCAATCACAGAGACCATGGCCACTATAATGTACTTGCGTGCGACTTGTCTATTTGAGTTTTGGTCACTCAATCTCGTATAATACACGTTTTCACTCTGATTTTTGTTGTATCTCATTCTCGTCAAAACCTTACTAAATGCACCGAGACAAAACACGTCGTATAATTAAAGTTACTGAGGTATCGAATAACGACAAAATATACATTTGATATAAAGGTTAGATAGCACGCACTTTCTCCGAACAAAAACAATGATGATTGATTGATAGATAAAAGTTTGATGATCGAATCAATAAAAGAGTATTCGTTTTCATCTCACTTGCCGATGGTTCCACACATGTACATGATGATTATCCGTGTGGCGTGTTTCAACTAATACGAAAGACCCATCGAAATGGATAATTAGGCAGAGTGAGGAACAAAAAGACATATTCCGATCATTATTCTGCCAGGTGACCGTTCAATTAGTCTTACAAGAGAACACATTTGAGTGCGCCATACAGGAAGAGTTTAAAACCATTCTATTCTCTGAGCTCCTTCCTGAATATCTCGGATATGAATAGTTTAGCTGCCCTCATTCATATCTGAAAATGAGAGAAGTCCAGACTTTTTCAGTTTTTAATCTTATTCTGCTAACAGATGTAGCTTAATGTTTTTTTTACTGTAGAATTCACTAAAATAATCATTTTTGTTTAGAAGAGTTGGTGTAGAAAATCAGCAAGATCATTTATGCGATGCGAACTAGCTCTCTGTCAATAATAGTAGTATTATATTTGTTTTCCATTTAAGCATTCACTTGATTAAGCCCTTTTTATTTTTGACAATTCCAGTAAGAGTTACTAAATTTTTTATGAAAATAGTTTAATCAAACATATCTATATAAAACAAAGAATAAACTAAAAATGTTTTTAATGGACTGAGAGAAAGAAAACAAAAAAATATTTCTCTAATCTATTTATCTGCTATGTGGGTCAATTCTTTTAGTTAAGCAGCTGTGAGTGTCCTCCATTCTCTTTAACAGAAAAGCGCTGACATCTTGAGGGTGTGGGTGTGGGTGGGTGTGTGGGTGGGTGGGTGTGTGTGTGTGGGTGTAGGTGAAAGTCTTCCAAAAACACCCACACCCTCAAAAAATTTCGTTTAAAGTTTGTTCTTACACAAGCTGTTCATAATGATATATTGAAAGGTGGCTGGAGCGAAGCTCACTTTAAATTTTGGGTCCATAAATACTTTAAATTAGTTACTATTGGTGAATTGCAAGTTGTTTATGCTATTAATTCTGATAATCCGTTGATCATATATGAACAATTACATACGACAATTAAAGAATGCCATGATAGAGTAGGACATCATGGTCGTGATAAAACGTGGAGAGAAGTAGTATTTTGTTTGGAAATTCGGAACAAAAATCATAATTTTATTTAAAATTAAGGTGAAACAACAGTATTGTTGGGTTCCATTTGATGTCCTAGTCATTTTTCTTGCTCAATGTAATTGATCTCAAATGATTTAACAAAATGTAATTTTATGGAATTACGTGCTATTGATCCGCAAACATTACCAACCTACACATTTATTCAAGCTTATGCAGATTATGTTAGCACTGGATGTAATCCAGTGTTGGAAACTTGTTCTTGTAATGGTAGTTGTGCTACAAAAAAATATCCATGCAAGGCAGCTATAGTTCCATGTGGTACAAAGTGTTATCTCGCTAAAAAGAAAATTTGTACAAATGTATAGATCTAAAATCGTTGATAAAATCCATGATTCCCAATGTTACCTCTAGTTGATTAATAAATTCGTTGTTTGCCTTTGTAGATCATCATTTGTATTCACGTTTATTTTATTTTCCATTACAGAAGAAATTCAAATGGTTGTGCCATATAAGTTTCTAATAGACTTTAAAATTCTAGTAGAGTAGAAATTAACATTTTAATTTCTACTAGTCGAATTTTAAATTCTACTGCGACATATACAGACAAACAATAAAAAGAAATAAAAGAACCTAATAACATCTTTTTCAGACCAGAGACTGTCACAGGGCAGGGCAACACTTTTTTGCCCTTATTCAAAAAATCTTAAAGAGAATCTGATTAAAATTCAGTATTTTTATTAGAAAACCGATTAAAGTAACAATATTTTTATTGAATTTTGACCTAATTATTTGATGTTCAATCGATTAAACTTTTTTACTAGATCTGCACTTTTGTATTCCATTCAGATTTTTTTTCTAGTACCTTTTTCAAGAATTTTCCATATTAGAAGGCTTTTTTGCTCAGCTCAAGAAGTGTATGTGGATTAAAAAAGTTTAACCAAGGAATCCAATTAAATGTTGCCTCTCAATCTGAAGAGAAGACTTTATTCAGCTCTGTTGAAAAATAGCCGTCTTCAATTTAGTATCCACGATAAATAAAAAATCATTTTATATTAGAAGTTCGTTCACAGGAAAGCAACAATGGCAAAATAGAAACTAATTTGATTCCTGATTTTGTTTTCAAAAATTCTGGAATTTGTTTAGATTTTTTAATGTCGAGCTGGGTTTTTGAGTAACAGATAATTGTTTTACAATTAAAGTCACTTTACTCCTATTAAACAATTTGTTTTAGTAAAAAAAGTTAGTGTTCTGCAGTATCTAGTTTTTAAAAACGCCTACCAAAGATAAAAGGCTAAAGTTCAGATTTAAATTGATCGGTTTTGGATTAAAAATGAATTGTAGTAGCACTACTTAAACCAAAGTTGTCAGCTAATAGACAGATCTCATTCGATTTAAAATCATTTTTCATCTATTATAATCGATCATTAAAAATAAAGCAATTATAAATGATTATTAGAAATCTATTTCAATTGATTAAAGTTGGGTGTGGGTGTGGGTGAATGTTTCTATCACGATCCACGCCAACACCCACACCCACACCTTACGAAGATCACCACATTGACGACTAATTTGTCAAGAACTCGTTAAAAAAAGTCTTATGAGTCGAAAAATTTCTAAAAAATTAAGTTGACACAACATATATATTTCCTGAAAATTTCAGCCAAATAAGTGCACGAATAACGAAAAGCGATTCTTGAGGGGGAAGCCTCTTAATAGTTTATCTTGAAGAATTATAAATATCTAAATCCAAATCAACAGTTAAAATCAAATCAATGATAATTCATGAATCATTAGCCAGGACAAATAGTTAAATATATGCATATTCAACTATTTCTAAGTTCATATTGTTAATGGTTGTCCAAGTTTCTATGAAGAGAAAGGAAAAACCAATAATTTTTCGTACTTATGGCTCATGTCACAAAAATCTTGTTTCCTCTAAAGTTTAATTTCAACTGTCTTTACAATTATATTAGATATATCAAAACATCGATAATTAGATTTATATATAGGGTGTGGG